GTTTTTTTTTTCACGATTAAAACCGCGTAGAAAGTTTAGGCATTATAGTTGACGCATGCGCAGTACACATATTTTGCATACATTTATTCAACTAATAAAAATAGTAAATTAAACAAAAAACGAGTAATTTTGAAAGAGAACAAACGTGTTTTATATAAGAACAATCGAAAATGAATATTTACGAGTCATTAAGGATGAAAAAATATTAAAAATTGCATTAGAGGGGCTAACTTGTAGGTATATTTTTAAATATTTTTTTTAAATAAATAACTGCAGAACAAACAATTATTAACAGTGAACAATCATGAACAAATGATGAACAAACGAATTAATAGAAAATAAGTATAAAATAGGAAAAAAAAATTTTTTTGAGGGGCTAACTTCATTCACCTGGTTTTAGGTTATTAGGTCTTACCATAGACCTATATTCAGTGGTCTTACGCCTACCTACTAAAACTAAACGTCAAATAAGCTTTTCATTAATGTCAAAACTGTCAAAATGAGACATGTAACTAGATATATTTTTTAGGAATTTTAAAATGGCTTGATGCTTATAAAGTTACAGTAATCATTACTGTGTGCATATTCATTGCTTAATTCTTATTAAGCAATTTACCAGTAAATAACTTACTAAAAATGCGTTAAACTAAACATTCAGATGTAACGAATTAGAAAATGTAAAAATTAAATTACAGACGACATAGTACTAGTAAATAGCTCGTGGAGGGTAGGTTTTTAAGTATGTACTATTATGGCTTGCATCAATGAAATTGTTACGATGGATTTTTAAAAATTATAAAATAAGATCACGACATATATCAGTAAATAACCACCATTTTACTGAGATTATATTTCATCCCATATTATTTCATGTCATTTCATTTCATTTCAACCCAGTTGATTGATGTTTCAAATTAATCATCTTCATTTCATTTCATTTCACTCCATATGATCATTTTTCATAAAAATAAGAATTAATTTAAAATGAGACATGGCTTAAAAGTCTTAGTTACTAGGTCGGGAAAAAAATACAATTTTGAAGTTTTTAAACAGAAAAACAGACGAAACGTCATTGTGGTTGTTGTTGGACGTCTTCTAAGTAAGATACTTTTAAATTTTGGCGCAAAGAATACCGCGTTGTCGTACACTTACAATAAATCCATTTTTACTAAGTTATTTGATGTTATAATTCAGTAAACATTGTAAAATTAATTCTTTCTGGTGTAAAACAGTGGTGTGATTATATTTTGATCTTTTAAAAATAATGACTACAACCCTCGTAGCTGAATGCTGAAAATCGATTAATAAACAATATGTCTTTGAAGGTACGTACATTGGTTATACACATAAGATAATATGTATCTTAGATAGTTAGTTAGTTACTGTATTTTACGTAGATAAGTTTTTAAAATCACCCATCTGATTACATAAAATAAAGCTTAAAATATAAAAAAGATTTTTTATCTAAAAAATTAATGAATTTTAATTGGTCATATAATATATTCTACTAATTAAACGGTTTACGTTTTAATGATGTAAGCATGTAAAGGAAATATATAAATTACATTAAAATATAATAATACTCAAAAATATTGATAAATTATTATTGTCTTCAATGGTAGATGACCTAGTAGTGCTTTATGCTAACGTGAGCTGTATACTTATAGCTTACTCTTACGGCTCACTGTAGTGGTCATCATTAGTCACAGAAATCGGTAATACGAGGAGCAAAAAAGTTATAACCTACTGCTTTGAACTATTTCAAATATAGTTTGAAGGATGCCACAAAGTATTACATGAAACACTGTGTAGGAGAGATCATTTTATCTGGATACACACTGTGGTTTGAGGAAGTGGAATGAACTCTGCTCCGGGGTTGTAACAGCTCAGTAAATAATGTAACATGTTTTATTTATTTACTTTCGTCAATATTCAAAGTGCTCATGAATTGTTACAATATTTTAACACATTTAATGACACCGATGACAATGATCCCAAAATGTTAGTATTTCAGAACAAATAATTAAATTATTAAGAAATGACTTCATATTTAGAATGTCCATGAATACTTGCTGATACTTTGAATGTTTTACAGTTCTTGTGGTCATCAATAGTAACTGACTAATTGTATTTTTATTCCATCCACCGCTAAAATATCCCTCAAATCCCTCATCGATTTTAATAGGATGGTTGATGTTATTTTACAATTGTAATCTATAAATAAATTTATGACATATTGTATAGTTGTTCTATTCATCTATCATGATGCTTTATTAGATTAAACTTTGTAATAACTTCTAGGACTTCAAATTGTAATAAAATTGGCTCCTGAAAATGTTTTGTAACTATATTTATTTCTGCTCTCAATCATTAATAAAATTTGAAAAATTTCTCATAATTTTATCAATATTTAACTGCTGATAAGAAAATAGCTTTTAAAGTTTCTATAAAATGCTTCAGCTCTTTGATTGATCTTGCTTATGTACAAGGAAATAATGATATTGCCAGAAAAGAACCATCTCATAAACCGAAAAAAGCAAATTTGATCTCTTTGTGAAATTACTGGTGACAACGAAAACCGGTAATATACCAAACGATCGGTTTCCATATATAGATCGCGAAGTGAAACCGGTTACGCACCGGTTTTGCTGACGGTAGTTACCGTTAAATATTCGCACAAGTCTCTTAAGTATGTTAATTTAGATACATAGATAAATTAATAAATCGGAATATTATTGTGTTGTTGACGGATTTTGAGTTGACGGAAAAGAGGTTTAACTAGTCTCAATTTTATTGGCTCTTCAAATGTTTTAACCGGACTGTATAGTTGTTATAGGCTGGACGGAGTGGAAAAAACGAGCCCATGCGGAATTAAAACCGCCTTCGAAAGCTCGAAACATTAAAGTCGCCTTAAAAAAATAAACAAAAAAATAATAAATTAAGTAGCCCCAACATTAGTTCATTCACATTTCAAAAATAGAAACTTTCAACAAAATCCCGGTTTTTACAAACGAGTTTTTCAAAGATCACAAAAAAAACCCTATCAAGTAAACACGAGATCATCTCTACGATTATAAAATTATACAGACAATGACAGCGCATAGACGAAACTCGTGCAACTAGATTGGAAGCTGAATAGTTGTTTGAAATACTTAAAGTTCCATCACTAAAACAGTTGTAAAGTTTATATTAAAAAAACAGGTTACGCTACACAGACTAAGAAGTTGTTAACAACATCTTACATTAAGAATGTTTAAAAAAAACAAGTGTTTTATTTTTAATTTCAAATTTAAATCGAGCCACATCGGACTGTCGGTGTAAGAAATCTTAAAATATTACGTCTAGCCATTCTAAGGATCTTTGGAGGTCATCTCTTTCAGCGCAAGATGGCAGATCTATGTGGTCTACCACTAAGAAGGCTAACAATGCGCCCCCATATTCGCAGCAACGTTATTGTTATCTTGTGGATTGGTTAACCCGTAGACACAGCCCACTGAGTTTCTCGCCGTATCTTCTTGTGGGTCACTTTTGCGATCCGGTGGTAGATTCTGCGAAGTACTGCTCTTGCTAGGGCCAGTATTAGCAACACTCCGGTTTGAGCCCTGTGAGCACACCTACACGTTAGGATGAAGCTGAAATAGCCTCTCAAAGCTATCAGCATAGGTAGGAAAAAAAAAGTGGATTGATTTATATCGGCAGGAAAAGTGAAATAATTCTGATAATCTTTTGTACGTAAGTGTACACAAAATAGTTCAGCGGCGCCAGTGAGTGAATCAATTTGAATCAGTTATATGGGCCGAACGTTAAAGAAGTGCAAATCACACCACCTNGTTAGGATGAAGCTGAAATAGCCTCTCAAAGCTATCAGCATAGGTAGGAAAAAAAAAGTGGATTGATTTATATCGGCAGGAAAAGTGAAATAATTCTGATAATCTTTTGTACGTAAGTGTACACAAAATAGTTCAGCGGCGCCAGTGAGTGAATCAATTTGAATCAGTTATATGGGCCGAACGTTAAAGAAGTGCAAATCACACCACCTACACTCCCGAGTTTAACTATTTTATTCATCATGTACCTACGACGCTTATTGCATAATGTATACTAAGAAATGTTTATCTTTTTACTGCTTTAGATAAATACCTATTCTAAACTATTTAATACTAGTGAATACACCGCGCGAGACGTTAATAGCAACTTAGCTACCGTAGGAAGTTGGAGTAACAATTCCAGTAGAAGAAATCTGATAATGATATTTAATACTTATTTAAAAGTTTCCGTATAAAGGTATACAGAGTAAAGGTAAATATAGAAGTAAATTTCATTATCAATCTTTAATTTCTCTTCTCTTCAATCTTTAATCTAATAAGTGTATTGTGTGATTCGCTCCAGTCGGTCGACTCAGATGCTGCGTCACGAAATCCACTATATCTCTGAAAATAATTCTACTTTTTTTTATGATTGAGAGTTTACTGGTGGCCCTGAGGTCTTTCCAGTTTTACAAGGACAGGTGGGCGAGCACGGGCTCAGCCAGAATGGGTTTGAATTTTGAAAAATCCGTGTAATGATTTCTTTTTATTTCTAGACCAGAATATTGCTTTAAGTACCAACAATTACAACGGTGCTTACAACATTTAAACTCATTTGGATAAATGAACAAATCTGCAAATATTATTGTTAGTATCTTAAATTAACATAAATTACGTCTTAAAAAGAAAATCGCAATAACGACACCCTGTTCATATTCAGGGAAGTATTTTATCACTTACTAAGGAAAGTGGAATTTTGCCACTGATATATTTATTTAATCTCAGTAGAAAAGCAAACAAAAAGCAGTAAAAATAACTCGTAAATCTGCACGTTAAATCCACGTCATTACTTAATAGAAGTTAGTGGAAAATTCTTTATGAGTGTGGATTGAATAAGTAAAACATTTGATAAGGTTTGCAAATAGTTTTACTTTTACTCTATTAAAAAAAAACATAATCAAAAAAGCCTACAGAGCAAAGAAGTGACAAATTCAATCCGCCTGCCATATCAAATTTAAATCTACATCCATTTCATCGGTTATATTGACGTGGCTGCTTCGCGAAAATTTAGAACATCTGATAACAAAAAGACACGCGTCCCGCATGTCGACGGCATTTCGTACTCGACCTTTTGAAAATGTACATCCACCAGATTTGTGGTCTAATTGGGTTATAAATATTATGATATATTCCATAAGTATCTTAAATTGTGGTGTGATCTTAAAGTATCTTAAATGGATCGTTTTCTGCAGATTCCTTTGGAAAGCAATTTCGTTTAGATAGCTATACCAGTATTGAGCTTATAATTTCGAATACCTTGACGCAAACAAATTCAGTGCTACCAGTGTAGTCAAAACATAATTAACTGTTGTTAAAGACAGGCTGGCTAAGAAATGTAGCATGTGTACCTACATTTACTGGTGGTAGAACGTCTTATGAGTCCGCACGGGTAGGTACCAACACCCCGCCTATTTCTGCCGACAAGTAGTAATGCTTTGAAGGGTAGGGCAGCTGTTGTACTGTTAAAACTGAGACTTTACAACTCATGTCTCGAGATGGGTGGCGGCATTTATGTTGTAGTTGTCTATGGGCTCCGGTTAAGAGTTAACCGGTGTGAGCTAATAAATATACTATGCGTTTTTAATTATGGTATTATCGTATTCATAAAACTTGCCATGGCCTTGAGACGGATGCATAATGCGGACCGGACCGGTTCTACGTAAATAGCATCATGCCCTCGCTACTATGCACATCGATCTCACTGGAAAGGTCAGAGCTGTATTTTATTACAAACTCTTCTATTATAAGTGTACGCCCTTCGAAATGACTATATAGGGTGTTTTAGTTCGTAAAATATATTGTTACAGTGTGTAGTATCGAAAGCCGCTATTACCCAGCCATCAAGAAATCGCTGTATTGAACACTAAACCATACGGGACTCCTGTATTGAGACACGGGCCACGAAACAACTTGCGGCTTTATGTAACTTAACTTAGAAACAACTATTATGATGGGTGCTAAAAGTACATTACAAACAAAAACGGAGACAACGTATGGTGTAAATCTTAGTTGTTTTTTTCCTAAACTTACTAATGAAATCGTAGCTGTTCACAAAACACCTATCTTACAAATTTCCCCTGGATATCTAATGTAATAAATAATAAAGTAGCGGAACAAAATAGCCGTGACCCATAAACAATAAAAGCAGATTAATAAATAAAAAAATAGGACAACATTTTTACCGTCATCTCACCAAGACAAACATCAATGTTATTGACAATTATTCGCTGTGCATATTA